ACTGCCCATGAACCTCCAAGTATGCCCGGTTTCTACGTTCGCTTAAATCCTTAACCAATCGAGGGATTTTGTTGGGTGGCGCGAGGATTTGGGTGCTTCAAGCTACAGCTCAAGAGGGACGAGCTAATTAGGGTCAGGGCAGAACATAGGAAAAAAGCGGCCGGAATCATCAGTAAGCCCATCCTCTTTCTCGTGCCTCATTGTCTTAGTTATACGGCAATATACCACAAAGCCCTTTTACTCAAGCATCTCGATCTGGGACTCCCACGCGGCTGCCTTGCGTGCTTGAATACATCCTACCAGAACTCCCTAAACCCTAAACCCTNNAACCCCTAAACCCCAAACGAAACCCCAACCCCAAACCAGAACTGTCCCGGGGTCCTGGCTCTCTTTCCCTGTTGAAATCCCAAACCTCGAACCGTAGATCAATAACCTTAAACTGAAGACCCTAAAAATTGAACCCTAAACCATAAGCCCTAGACCTTAAAACCCTAAACCATAAGCCCTATACCTTAAACCCTAAACCCTGAAGCACTAATCTCAACCCCCCCTCCCAAGTCTCCAACCCTGAACACTCCTTTCCGGTTTGGGTGTCCCGACCCCTGCTTCCACCCTGCTGCTCCTTTGTGATGCTTTTAGGGACCCAAAAAGCACATAAGCATAAGCTTTTTATAGGGATGTACCTGCCTTATTGGGCTTCATTATAAGGGAATTTATATGGGACATCCGGATCCTAATTTTTGCTTATGCGCTTTTTTTGGGCCCTATACTTTGCCTTCATGGCGAGAACTGATGTCTAGAGCTAAGAGAAGGCACAGAAGAGGGTAAATACCTGGCAGCGCAAGCCCTGATGACGAAGTGCGAATGATTTGGATGCATAGTTCTGCATCCAACAGCTACCCACACCTCACCCCACAACCCCGAAGCCCCAAACCCTCATGACAAGACCGCCCCAAACATTCTAAACACAGAAGCCGCTGATGTATAATGTGGTGCCCATGAAAGCTCCGTTGCTGGTAGATCCTTCAAGGTTTCCCGGCAGGTCTTGATCAGTGGTACAGGACTGGTTCAGGTGAGTGTAATGATAGTATTTGGGCTCCTACTGTCAAAACCGACCTTCTAAGTACTAAGCCCATGCTCCCTAAACCCCGGGCTGCTGAGCCAGCGATCCAGCCGTTCAGGAGCTCGACACGCTGAACCAGGACTGCGGGTTCAGGGTTCAGGGTTTGGGATTAGGACCTTAGGACTCCAAAGACCAAGAGATTCAGGGCTTTGGCTGGTTTCAGGATTAAAAGAAGCGATGAGCGTCTTCGGCTTAGGATGCAGGCAGGATTAATTATTAAGGGCTTAGGTTTACGGTGTAGCTTTCAAGATCCTTGAATGTAGTGTTCTGGGCGCCGGCAATAAGGACTTCGTAGGCGACTTAACATTCAGTGCTGACGATTAGGGCTGAGAGTTCAGGATGAATAGCAGCTTGTTGGTTTAGGGTTTAGGGTTTAGGATTTGGGGTTTAGGGGTTGACCTAATCAACGAAGACTCAACTGTTCGACGCTGAATAGCTTAGGCATCTGTCTCACATAGAACCCGAAAACATCTTACAAACCCTGCATGGCACATTTGAGCCCTTCGACCAGCCTCCCGCAACACCTTACAGCAAGAGCTGGAGGCAAGATGTGGAACTCTGTCTCTTCCGCCATCAGAGTTCGCACTCGCCCAGCCTGTTGCAACCGCCCTGGTTGCAAGGCCCTACGGAGCTTGGTGGACAAAATCTAAGCTGGCAGCGGTTCGTCTTACGGGGTTCGTCCCAGAGACCGCCTTCCCGGCTGATTTTCAATCAAGACCTGCTCAAGGGCTGTCTATGCCTACCGAGCCTCCAAGCTGTTGGCCCGCTTGCAAAACCTACAGCATTGCTTTCATGGAAAGGCTTGAAATCCGCGCACAGCCATGTCTAGTCCTAAACCCTAAACCCCAAACCCTAAACCCTAGAATCTAAGTATAGTAAGCTCTTGTTCTCATGAACACTACTGTTGCCGTTCTAGTCTTTGTCGTGCTTCCGCCAATCGAGGCATCAGTCTTTGCTGTTGACATGGAAGTCAACCAACCCCAAACCCTATGAACCCTATAAGCCGTATCAACCCTATAAACCCAAACCCCAAGCCCTAAGCCTAAGCCCCAAGCCCTAAAACCAGGTGCCTTTTTGAGGTTTAGGGTTTCATCGCGAGCCCTGAGTCCGGCCCAAGGTTTTAGATGCGGCCGGTTCTGTTATTAACCTTAACCTAGAGGTCCATATGGGAGTTTCAGAAAATTGGGGTACGTACCTTATTTTGGGGTCCTTATAATAGGGATCCTACTATTTAGGGTACTATGTTAGGGTCCCCTATTTTCAGAAACTCCCATATATACTGGGTCTCCCAGTGGGCCCTTTTTCCCGTTTTGAAGTCTCAAGTTCCTTGCAAAGGTATTCAATACCCAGAAAAGGGAGCCCTCTTTAATCCCAGGTTACTGGGCATCTTAGTGTACTACCATTATGGAATTTAGGGTCCCCAAAACCATAATAAGGATGGTCTTTGGGGCCCCATTCCAGAATGGTAGTATGTATGGACCCTCAGGTTGCGAGTTTACTACAGGGCTGGCCGCCTTATGCCGAGCAGCCTCCATGTGAACCCAAGTCTATCAAGTACATGTCATGGTCTCTCTTCTTGGATTGTCTGTACCCCTAAAACCTCAACCCTGAACTCTAAACCTTCAACCCTAAGCCCGTTCTGCACCGGGAAAAGTCTGCGACCCTGCAGGCAACTAGTTCCCCACCTTTCTGCCGGAAGCCTGCTGGTGCCCTACAGGCGGCATAACCATCAGCCAAGCCCGAACCCCTGCATGTTGTAGGAGCCTCAATAATTGATTAACAAGCTGTTCTATTCCTTGGGGTTTGGGGTAAGTAGTAGTTGTAGTACTGCATCCCCCCCACCCCCCTTAAGCCTTCTCTAAGTGTTAAGGCCCCTTTTACTGCTCTGCCCCATAGGAGTCGGCACAGTTCGACGAAGACTTCGTCTGGCTGGAAGGTCGAGTTGATGAGGTACCTCGGTCTGTCTAATAGAAGGGTTTTCATAATTCGAGAAGGGCTCCTCTAAAGTGTTCGTTTGAGGATTCTTTTATGGGTGTAAAGGTTTTTAATAAAAAGGTGCCTAGGAGAGTATTTGTACACTAGTACGTCTGAATATGTAGGCTTCTGTATGACGAGAGTTATTTGGTCTATGGCTTAGGGTGCTTTGAGTCCTTCTCGGGTTCAGAGCTTATCGTGGATATTGCTTTGGGGTCGGCTAGGGGTAGGTTTGGGTAGGAGAGGAGCCGGGAAGTGGCTTGCACGTTGCGCCGAGCCCATGTAGTGTCTTCTACGTGGAATCCCTGCTGAAGCTTTGCATGTCTTTCCGGCTCAATCCCCTAAAAATTCAAAACCCCAAGAATCGAAAAATTATGAACCCAGCGTAGGGGACGTCCTATGGGGATAGCTGTTTTGCTTCCTCCAGGTAGAGCCCATCTCTGGAACCCAAAGTTCCTTCCGAGGCCTTTGAAACCCCTAGGGCGTTAGCTTCGGTACAGTCCGGGGTTTAACCCTAAACCTGAGTCCTGTATACCCTGAGCACGAAATCCCACTCCTCAAGTCCCACCCCAACCCCGTAGGTAACATTTTGGCCCAAGATCCATAGACGGCCATCCTTCAACATATTTTTTGGGGGGTCCAGGTATACACTCACCCTAAACCCTAAACCCTAAACCCCTAAACCCCTAAACCCCTAAACCCCTAAACCCCTAAACCCCTAAACCCTAAACCCTAAACCCCTAAAACCCTCGGGGCCTTCGGAAGTTTGTTTCGGATCTACCGGGCATTGCCCGGCTTGGATATCTCAGGTTAGGGTTCAGGGTTTTGAGGTTTAGGGTTTGGGGTATATGGTTTCGGGGTTTAGGGTTTAGGGACATTTTTGGGGTTTAGAACCCTAAACCCTAAACCCTAAACCCTAGACCGGTCGGCCTAGACCGTTTTGGGTTTAGGGTATAGGGTTTTGGGGTTTAGGGCCCGGGGTCTGTCAGCGAATCCTGAGGGTCCAAAGGTTGCTTTCGGTTTAGGGGTTTAGGGTTTAGGGTTTATAGGCTCTGGGGTTTATAGGGTTTAAGGTTTATAGGTTTTTAGGGTTTAGGGTTAATAGGGTTATTATGGCTTACCTATAGTCTCCATTGTAGTTCCTTTTCTTGGTTTAACCAATACTATATTAAGGATCCTATAAGGTAACCCCCAAAAAGGAACTACAATGGAGACTATAGGTACATGAGGGAGGCTTTTGGCTAAGACGGTGAGGTCAGCGTCTAGTTGGGGATTCGTGGTCGGTTGAAAGTATGGAAATGGCCGCGAGTGCTGTACTACACTAGTGGTACTGGGTACGGAGACTTGCAGTACTTGAATTTGGCTGGCAGTCTGTAGAGAACGCCGACTAAACACCAGAACTCCTAAACCCTAAACCGCGAGTACCATACTCCGA